TTTTATCTATTATCTTTAACTAGATGAATTTGGACATATTATCTTTCATCTTTATCTAGATAAATTATGCATTATCTATTCCCAACACTGTATATAGGTATATCAAAGTTGATATATTAGTTTATAATATATTATAATATTTACTATGATCGCATCATGAAGCTAAAATAATAAAAAACTTACCTAATTGAAGGGTTAATAGTATCCGAATGAGGTTCATCTCTCAAAGTGTTGTCAAGAAGCTGAAAAACAAAATTTCACTCGTCAAAGCATCACAAGTGCAAAACTACCTTGGATAAGAGATCATGGATAAGTTTTAGCATGGAAACTAAATTGGAATTCTTCTGTTTTCTCATTATATAAACTATGCGGACGAGGCTGAAAAACAATGATGGGTTCGAAACGGGATTTGCATTAAAAAAAAAAAAAAAAAAATTATAATAATAAAAAGTAAAAGGAATAGTCAACGAAAAAAAAAAGATTGGAATGTCAATAAAAAAGAACCAATCGGAAAATTAAATTAGAAATGCATATTATATTTATCACAGCAACGTGATGCTATTGAGATATTTTTTAATTCGACTTATAAAAAAAATTAATTATTCACTTATCATATCATAAATTAATAGATTATAAACGTTTAATTAATCAACATTTTAAATAGTTGAAGAGAAATATATATATATATATATATATATAAAAATAACTATTTTTAAGTTTTGGATAATTTTCAACTTGTTAATATTTATTTTTTTGGAATAAAAACAACAATTTATTCAATAAATCGTTTTAAATATTAAAATTTATAGTTTTAATGAAAAAATATCGATTAATATAATTGAATAAAATCCAAACTGATAAGTTATTGATGGAATTCATTGTGATTTATTCAACATGAGGTTTAATGCGCTTACGTATTTTTTGGAATGCTTGACGCGATCTAATCTACATATGATTCGAATGTTTGAGTCCGGTTATTATATTTATGGTTTTTATTTTATCTTAGTGTATTTACTAATGTTCGAAGAAAATATAAAAGTTATAATCAATGCTCGACTTGGGAAAATTAAAGAAGGAGACTAGACTATGTTTACTTTAAAAAAATAGCGTGCCCCAAAATTTTTAAGCGTTATATTTATAACGTAATAATAGTAGGGGGATGCTACAATTTCTGAAAATTAGTTGGGGTACTAAATCCCTATGCAAGTCGAGCACTGGTTAAAATACCATTTATGTTGCCGCCACAACGCAAATTTAATTGAGATAAGAGCTCGACGGCCGACGATCCGAAAGGACCACCATCAGCCGATCAATTAATACACACACATATAACCACGTAATCTTAAGTTTATTTTAATATCTGTTTATCGTTGTCCATTTATCGTATGTTCAGTGACGGCGCCAGGATTTTTAGATAGGTAGGACCTCCAAAAATGAGAAATCAAAAAAAAAAATAAATAAATAAATAAATAATAAAAAAAAAAAACAATTAAAATGAATTGATTACTATATTTAAAAACTTTAAATTGATTACAACACTATAATAAAACTACTTTAAGATAATTCTAAGATTGTTATTTGCATCTGCAAACTTATTTATTATTTCATCAATGTCTAATGACTTAGCTTCATGTTTTTCAATAGATATAATTCATATGATACTTAAACTTGTAAGGTTAGTTAACTATTTCTTTAGTAACTTTTTACGCGTTTCATAAATGAAAATTTACGTTCACACGAAGCTGATGACATGGATATTGTTATAGCAATGGAATATAATTTATATGTTTCAGAAAATACTATTTAATATTCCTTAAGAAAGTTATGAAATTGGAATCTTTAATTCTTCGTAGGAGCATTATTTATTCTAGGAATATTATCAATTATAATCATATAATATAATAGAAGTATTTATATTGTTATATTACACATGCAGTAAACAAAATACAAATACTGTTATCAGTGGCATAACTGGGAAAAAACCTAGGAGAGGGCAATATAATATATTTATTATTATCAAAACCCTGACACCCCTGTCCCTCACCAGTTAAAACATATTTTTATTGTATGTATTTTATACACTATATTTAATTGTTTGATTTTACATATGTCTTTTAACTCATTTTATGGTTTAGATAAACATAAATTGTAGGTAGCATGTACTAGGTACCAATATTGTTAAATAATATCCATAAGAGTTCATTAATAAAAGGTGCTATTTTTACTGTTGGATTATCTGAGGGGGGGGGGGCTAAATTATACCTTTATCTCTCAAAAAATTGTCAGAGGGGGCATTTGCCCCCCCTTGCTCCCCACAATTACGCCACTGACCGTTATTTAATATTTTCTGCATATAAAAAATGACTATATTATAATGTCTAAAGTCAGGTCAGTGATAGGGCCATGACCCTACCTAGCCCATTCCTGGCGCCGCCAAAGCATGTGTTATGTATCTGAAAAGTCTGTGCGTGTATATATTATTGTAATTTTCGTATGAGATTTTTACCTTTGTCTTGCGAAAACCACTGTACAAAAGAGATATATTTTCGTGAGAGTGGATAGCCGCAATTTTTATATTATAACTTTTATACAAGTAATAATAGATTTTTACCTAATTTTGGACTGTTGATTGCATTTTTAGAATATTTTTTTGAGTATGAAGGAAAAAATAAGCAAACTTCTTTTCATATATGCTTTATTAAGCGTAAATGAAAATAAGTTTACTTCTAGACATATAATAGTGTAGATGAATAAAATACAGCATCATCCTAATATCAAATTAGATCTATGACAAGGATTTATGCGACGGACTATGAACTTTATTGTAGCCAAGATTTATAAAAAGCATGATTTAGGATAAGTCACACTTATTTCTACGTTTCAAACTAAAATTCCGTTACTTTTATTTTATAAGTTATATTAAATTACTTAATTTTATTTATTCATAACAGTAAATTATTTTATTTTAGTAAAAACTAATACATTTCATGAAACAAATCAACCATCAGTCTAAAAATCTGACACCAGATAACAAAGACACCTCATAGGTCTAACAGTACTTAATTACTTAATCATTATCAAATTAAATAATATCCACCTAGTAATTCAAGAATTAAAACTTATATTTAAAGTCTGAGAAACATTTTCAGCAAACACTGATTTTAACCAACAGGAGGAATCAATGATAGAAAAGTTAACAACTATTACTTATTTGGTTCAACATAAACACAATTTAACACTCTTAACTATAATAGAAATTTTCAGTTAAAAAAAATTGCAATTCCAATCAAAAATACAATTTTCAGAAGGAATTCAATATTTAATAATTTATATGCATAATTGAAGTTATTATACCTTGATAAGGTGAGTGAATAACATAAATGTCCTTTATAGCATAAAATAAAAATATGTATAGGTGCAGACAAATACAGTATAGTCCTTTATAATATTTATGATAAAAGTTTGATACAGTATAAAAGAATAATTGATGTATTATATTTAATATAGATAATATACAAATGTATTTAATTCAGATCGAATATTATAAGATTTCTTTTTAAAGTACTTAAAATTGCAATTTATACAGTAAACACGTATAATAAAAAAGTCTAACAATTAATTAAATTTACGATGGTATTTTGGTTGACTTAGATAGCCTAGAGCAGTGTTTACTAACAAGATCCTTAAGAATCTTTTTTTTTTTTTTGGTCTCATGCGTTTAGCAAATTACTAGATTAAAAATAAAATTTAAAGAGTTTTCAAGTAATTTTTTAGTTGATTTCAGAAATATTTGATAAGTCCAGGTTAGTATATTAAGGCTATGTATCTAATTGCCGGTGAAATTTTTTTGAAACCACCCAATAAAAGAATATAATATTCAAATCTATAAAATTATAACCATATGATATTTATCAGTGAAGTGCTTTGTAAACGTCCTAAAAATATGGGAATTCAAGCACTATTTAATGGATAGAAATAATTTATTTTTATATTTTTTTAATCATAATAGTTTTGAAATCCCTATTTAAAAATAATATTTGTTATACAATGTTTATTGAGAGCAGATATTTTAAAATTTAATAATAAATAATAATAAAAAGTCTAAATTGTATGAATATAATAATTTATAGTATAATTTTATGTTTTGCTTGAAATTCAGTTTGTCGTGATGAGTATATAATACTATAAAAATTAATACTTGGTTGGGACCTATTTTGAATAATGATTTAAAGTTCTCTGACTTGGTATAAAATTATTACAAAGAAATATGGATATAAACATATATTTACTATAATAGTTTAAGTGAATAAAATCAATCTAAAATAAATACCATTAAGGAGAACTTGACTGAGGAAAAATATTTTAAAGTTTTTCTACATTTATCAGAGAATATTTGTATGCACAAATAAAAACTATGATTTTTGTACCACAAGGCTACTAAAGCATAACATAGAATAATTTTCATGTGAAAAGTAGACAAAAAAATATTAAATTTACTGAAATATCTCAAAATTAAAATCAAGTTTATATTCATAAACATATAAAATGAAAAAAAAAAAATTGAAATAAAACAACTGAGTGAAAAGAATACTTGGCAATATTATATCAGTTTTTTTATTTTATGCTTTACATTAAACACTAGTCTTATATGCTTAATTCTATATTTAGATATAAAAAAAAAAAAATTATTAAAAGTACCTTACTTTAATTGCATTTTTGCTATCAACAACACAAATAATTCCTGAAAAAGAAAAAATAATTAAAAAACATAATATTAAAATTTGAGTAATACTTATAATATTTTCTATGACTTTTGATAAACTTGTATTTTTAAAAAATGTTTGTGTACTTGAATTATAAATTATTACACATATAATATGATCTTAATTTTTATCATAATTTGTTACATTTATTATCTACATCAATAAATATTATTTATTTCAACTTTTATTTTTATAATGTTTTAACATTAGGTAAATCAAAATGGATTCCACAAAAATCAAGTTTCAAATTTTATAATTAAATTTTTTAAATCTAATATGTTTTACCTTCAGATTTTATTATATAATAAAAAAAAAGCAAAAAAGTATATAGAAAATAGTATTTACCATCTAAATGAACATCGCTTCCCAACTCTGAATCAACCCAAAACAATTTTGCAATGGGTCCTAAATATTTAAAATAATATATTATTAACAGCAACTAAATATAAATATTTTAATTACCAGGATCTGCCAACCCAGTAGTTTCTAATAGAATGTAGTCAAATTTTCCACGTTTGGACATAAGGTTTTCAATAGCTTTCACACCGTTATCTTTGACTGAACAACATAAACAACCGTTTTGCAATTCAAGCCATTCTTCGCAAAGGTTTCCTTTTTCACCAATAGCAACTGATTTTTCCATTGTGTCACCTGTGAACAAGTCAAAATTATGGTTCTACCTAACCATAAGCCCAAACAATTCTGTAATTAAAGTGCTATACATAATGGTTAGAGTGAATAATAAGTGTTTGTGTTAGACATATTATTTTAATCAACGACATGATATACTATATCGTACATACCTTCGCCAAACTCATTCAGTATGACAGCAATTTTTTTGTTGTGTTGTTCTGTAAGTATGTAGTTCAAAAGGGTTGTTTTGCCTGATCCCAAATAACCAGTAATAATGGTTACAGGTACCGGATCTATCGTTGCAGCCGTGACCAATGATGGGATTTCATCGTCAGAGTCCATACTAATTAGTCTTTAGTAAGTAATACAGCGGCGATTAGACTCAATATTTTCTTTACGTCTTCTAGAACTTAATCGCTGAAAATCCAGGTTCAGACAAATTTCAACTGTCGCAATTTCCAAAATTATATGATTTAACGTTGAAAACTTTGAACAGTTATCAACTTTTATCAGCAACTGGAACATTAACCTCGATAAGTTGATAACGGAACCACTTCTGCTGTTACCGATAAGAAATAACAGAAACCGATATTTTTAGGGGCATCTGATGGTCACCGAAACACATTTTTCAGTTAAATTAGTTCAAAAATTCGTTGATAGATGACGCTAATCATTCAATAGATAGAATTTCAGAAAATTCTAACCATTTCAGGGATCATGTTCGAATTAAATGTTTACATAAAATGTTAATGATTTTCAATTTTCATTACACATTATTTAAATATCTTTTGTTTTTTTTTTTTTTGTTTTCGTCTTATTTGTTTCATGAGTATTTATTCGGGCCCGGACATCTCGGCATGGCCATCTCGGCGTAGCTATTTCAGCGTAAACCATTTTGGCGTGAACCCATTTCGGTATAGACACATTTCGGTGTGCATTAAATTCTTTTAGACTTATATTCTTTGATTTTTATTATAAACGTACTGTATGCCAGCATAGTATATGATTCTAAACACGCTACATAAATTATATTTATGTAAATTATATTATGCGATATGGCATCGGCCAACAATAATAATGATAATAATGATCATCCCTTTAAATATCTAACCTAATGTAAATAAAATTAAAATAAACTAATGATAACTAATATTATGGGCTATCCTCATTAAAAAACCAATGATACCACGATTGTTATAATTATTTACAAGTTTTTTTTATTCTTTTATCTACATCGATATACTTTTTTTTCCGTGGGGGACTTTTTCGAGCTTCTAATTGATAATAAAATGTATCACGACCAGATTATACTTTTCTCAAACAAGAAATGAATGTCCAAAAGGTTGGATGCTGCACATCCATTTGTAAATTAAGTCGTCTGTTACCTGCCTCGGCATAGTTGTTAGTTCTAATTTAAAAATCAAATTAAAAATTTTAGTCTAAAAGAATTGAATGCACACCGAAAAGGGTCTAGGTCGAAATGGGTTCACGCCGAAATGATTACGCCGAGACGGCCACGCCGAGATGTCTTAGACTTTTTTATCAAAAGCGACGAATCCAATACCCTGGGATGTATATTTTTTCCGGAGAGGTTAGAATCGGGTTCTATCGGGTCTAGGAATGGGCAAAATTGTTTGAACATCAATATTCGATGTATCAGTACGTCGATTTTTAAAATATCGTTGTACCGGTGAAAAAAACAAACGTTTAAAAACATCTTATATGCATACCTTATTATCTGTACAGTGTACTATATTCTTGATTAAATTGTAAATTCAAGAGTTAAAATACTATTGTTTAACTTATATTTTTTAAATACATATTAAATACTTATAATCAGGGTTCGTAAGTCCATGCATTTGCATGTTTTCTTTGCTATATCGGAAAATATGCTAATTGAGATAAAAATCTGTTTAATCACAATGGTAATAAAAATCTAAAGTGTAATAGTGCATGTTTTTGCATGTTTTGTGTGTATTGGCATGTTTGGTATATATTTTATTTTATTTTGAGTTATTAGCGCATATTATTTTGGGTAAACAGTGAAATCGTTTTTTGTGGAAGTCAAAAAAAGAAAATTTAGATCAATAAATGTTTGAATTCATTCTTATTTTCTTTTTCGAACTTGTTTATAAAATCTTAGTATTTTATCAATATTTTAATTTTTTTTTACATTAAATTATAATTATAATTTTAATAAAATGTAACCAAAGAAAAAATGTAACTTTTAAAAATATTAATGGATTAATGAATAATTCTTTTTATTTTAAAAGATATTATACATTTTTTTTCGTGCATAGTTAAGGATTTTTAATGCATATTTGAACAATTGTTAGTGCATTATTGCATGCTTATTTATACGTTTTTTAATGCATGCAATTACAGACCCCGATTATAACTATATAGTGTACCTATACTGTATAACAATTGTTGTATATTGCACATTAAGTAATACAAACAAAATAAAATTTGAACATTTCGAACATAATGTTTTATTGATTAATCGAAAACAAATCATTGATGTTAAAAAATCGATATATCAATTTAAAAACTCGATGTTTTTTTTCCATCCCCAATCGGGTCTGGTTAACTGTTGTAAATAAGGTTTACCACTTACAATTATACAATACTAACTCTGAATGTGTTAACGTGAAAAAAAAATACTAATTGTAATAAAATAATTATTAGAAAAATAAAAAACAACTTCTTTGTGGTATTAGTCAAATTTTGTCAAGTAGTAGAGAATAAAGACGACAATACTATACACGATTTAATGTTAAACAATATGGGTCACAAATGAGAACAGTACCAATTGTAAACAATGTATTAAAAAATACACTAAACAAAGTTAATTTATCAATACAGGACCGGATTAAGAGTTTATCGGGCCTGGATCCTAGAAGTCCAAAGGATCCTTAATCCTTATAATATTTATTAACAATAACTGAATTTTATTTCTTTAAAAAAATGATACAAAGTAATTGATTATTCAGAATATCTTAAACAATTTTTAATATTTCTCAAATTTCGTTACATGAAATTATACAATATTATTCTTTAAATGTAAAAATATAAATATAATATTTTAAAACTAACTTTATTCTCTAATTTTCTCTTCTCTTTTTGGAACTCCGCAATAATTTTATCTATATAAATTTATTTTAGTAGAAATCTCAAATACATATACAAATAATACAATTACGAAAGTTAAAAAATGTATACTTAACCAAAATTTAAACTTAAAAGATTTTTAGATAGGTTTATGATAGAAGACCCCTTTGGGGTCTTAAATATTTTAGGACCTGGAGCCCGAGCTCCTAGGCTCCGTTCTTAATCCGGCCCTGTATCAATATAACCAATAATATGTTAGTAATGACTTTTGAGAGTCAGGGCCTAAAATAGTGTGCAGTACGACACTGTTAGTGTAGTACAAAATTGGAATAGTGCAGTACAAAATGAAAAAGTGTGTTGATTATTTTAGTGTTATGTTTAGACTGACAATTCCGTCAATTAACTACATAGTTAAAACTTTTATTTTTAAATTTTAATTTTAATAATCTATATATATTATTAACTTTGAATTTTGATATATTAATATACATAATAATATATATTATGTAATTATACCAAAAATACTGATAATACCACCATGTTTATTTAAGCAATACTATAAAGGTTTATGATCATGGTCTTATGATATTGTAATTTTATTATTATATCTATATCCATGTATGGTACCATGAATTAAAATATTATTATTATTATTAATATTATGTATACCATAGGTAACCTTCTTTCGTGATAAATGATAATGATAACTTAGCAATAAATAAATTAGACAAAACTCTGATAACAGTTGCATTATCAGAAAAATAAAAACTTGATAATAATATTTTATTGTTCTGGACGTTCTGGTCCACTTGGCTATTATAAGTTTTATGATTATCTCATACTTTTATTTGAATTTACTTTTTAAATTTGTAGTAACTAGGTACTATAACCGACAAAATATAATATATTGTTTAATATACCTAGTACTACAGTAGTTATGGATCGTTTTATTATTAGAAAAAGAACATCCGAGGATGATGGAAATAATGAGAATTGTACTAAAATTCAAAACAAAAGTAATAATTATTTATTTTTTATTTTTATAATATATATTATATTGAGTATTATCATCAGTTTTTATAATTTATTATTATTTCTATTTAACTTTGAGTCATATAAAATAATAAATATTACAAATTGATGAAAGATTATATGAGTGGTGTGACTATAATATTATATTATAAAATATTAAATAACAATAATAATATAATATGATTCTGATAGTTTGGTTTTTATTACTTTTTAAGAAAACATTAATATTAATTGGGAAGTATGTATAAATATGTATGTGAATAATACAATACAATTGTTATAATTTGTTTAATTTGTTAGTATTTCATATGAGAGAATATCAATGATCAGTATAGCCTGTGGTTATTATATTCTTTTATTCATTTTTGGTTAAATAAGTATGAACAAATTTAATTATACAAATTAACAAAATACAGAGAGGTAATCAAATAAAAAATAAAATTGTATACCTATTATTTATGAATTTATATTGTATTATTTATAAGTACAATAACGCCAATAACTATATTATTATTGTTAAACATAAACATTTAATAAAAATTTTGAGTTCAATTACCTATCAATATTTTATTTTTTTAATTATTCTAACATCCAGGTTTTCAAATTTATTTTAACATAGTTTAATTTTTAACTTTTCAACAGTTAGTGTTACTGAAATAAAAGAAGTAGAAATAAATGTTGCTGTAGATAGTTGTATTGAAATAGTTAAAACAACCAAAGAAAATAGAAACAAAATTAAATGGGATCATTGTTATGAAAAAGTAAAAAAAGAAAAAGGTCGTACAATGGTTAGATGTTCTATTTGTGTTAAGCATAAATCTACTGTCTTATTACATACTAAACAAAGAAATCATTTGCCACCTATTTGTACTGAGTTAGGTACAATTCCAAGAAATGAAATTTTAATAAATCATTTAGGCTCTATTGAACATAAAGAATGTATAAAAGTAGAAAATTTGAAAAAATCTATCAACATCTGAAATTAATATTAATGCTCCTTTCAATAAACTTGTTTCAAAACAAAATGAAAAATTAGCTCTCAAAATTGGGAAATTCATGATTGAAGTATTTAATGATGCTAAAAGAGGAACTCTCAGTGCTTGGTCTTGGCCATCAAGAGAAGTTGTGCAAATTAAAAAAAGTCAATTAAATTTATTAGAACCACCTAAAAAAATTGATATTAAAGAAGGTGATTTACAATACATTAATCCAACAACACATAATGAATTATTGAACTCAATAGTTGAAACAGACAAGCCATTGTTAATGAATAAGCTGAAGACTGCACTAGCTATATCACTAAGAGTTGATGGGTCTGTTGATAGAACACAGGTTGACAACATTCATGTATTGGCTAAAATAATAACTACAAATGGAGATTCTGAACTAGTATTTATAGGTTTTAAAGAACCTATTCAAAAAAGAGCGATAGGATATTATGAAGTAATTAAATCTTTAATACGAGAGTTAATGTCATTTGAAGATTTTTTATCTATTTTGTCTTCAATTGCAACTGATGGAGCAAGTGTTAATATTGGACAAAAAAATGGACTGTGGGCGTTAATAGATTCAAATAGATGTTCTAATAATATCCAAGGACCATTATTAAAAATGTGGTGTGCTGTACATAGAAGTGCCTTAGCATGGGGGCAACTGACATCTAATGTAATTGAAGTGCATAAGCTTATTGTTGCATGTTCGGGTATGTCTTCATACTTTCATCAATCTGGTCTCAGAACCAAAGAATTGAAAGATATAGCAAATGAAGAAGGTATGAGTTTTATCCAGTTGCCAAAATATTTTGAAGTGAGATGGACTGAATTTACATACAATTTACTTCTAGGAATTCTAAAAAAATTGGCGTATTTTAGTTAAATATTTTTTAAAAAAGAAATCAGAAAATAATGATGTTAAATCTGAAGGATTTTATAAAATATTGACAGATTATGACAAGATGATGTTGCTTTGTTTTTTGACGGACCTCGGTTATCTTTATGGTAGATTTCAAAAGCAAATTCAAACGGATGATGTATTAATATTTGATATAGAAACAAAAAAAAATACAGTTGTCCAAATGATTGAAAATTTAAAAGTGAGCCCTTTATTGGGTGGATGGGAATATGAGTTCAACAAAAATACAATTGTAACTCATAATTCAGAATTTGAAAAAAATATTATTAAACTGCATAACATTGAATTATTTGATAAAAATCAACAATCGAGAAGAAAGAAACATAATTTATATGTGTCTGATAAACGTTCGTTTCTCGCAATACGAAACGATGTAATTGAACATATTGTTAATTACCTCAACACCCGTCTTGATTCATCCGAATGGCTTCCATTAAAAGTTTTAGAAAAAGTAAGTGATGCTGTAAGTGACGAAGAACTTCAAAAAGCACATCAAGTGATCTGTCCTGATTTTGAACTAGCTGATTTTGTTACGTCTTATAAAGAAGCTGCTGGGATATCAAGTATAAAAGATAAACAATTGTCATCTGATCTTCTGAAGTCGTTATTATCTAATGATTCGTGGAAACCTCTTAGCACTGCTGTGGTAAATAATTTTAAATTAATGTTAAAAGAAAGAGTGGAAAAGGCCAATGAATAGTCGAATAGACAAAATAGAGAATGATATGAAAATAGCTGGTGTGACGTATAAAAAAATAAAAAAATAGAAGACAGTCAATCGAGTCCTATAGAGTTGTAGGACAAGGGTGGCTGACTCCATGGAGTGAAGGTGAGGTGATAGAAGAAGATTAATTAATTTGTATATTTTTTTTTTATAGGCTCGTATTCTATCTGCTAAGCCACATTCGGCAGATGTTGAAAGATTAATTTCTTACTACAACTTATTAAAAACGGCAACAAGATCTTCTCTATCTCCTACAGTAATAAATGATTCTCTGTATGTGAAAATAAACATGCCGGCATTAGACGAGTTTGATCCTCAACCAGCTGTCTTTAATTGGTTGAACAAAAAGAAAAGGCATTCTAAAATGCATACACATGCGAAAAAACAGGAATGGTATCAAGGGGTTTTTGATGAAGTTAAAGAAAAATATGATTTAACAAACAATATTGAACTTGGAAAAATACAGTTTTAAAACTTTTAAATATAATTTTATGTTCTACTTTTAATTATTTTATTCAGGCGACAGGTGTAATATTATGTTGAATTTTCAAATAAAAAAATTTTTTGACATTTTATTTTTAGATAGGGAGAACTCATATTAAATTAAGTGAAATTATAAAATAGCGTAGTACGAAGTTTCATTTATTTTAGGCCCTGTTGAGAGTAATTTATTTTAACATAAAAGTATTATCGTCTACCGACATCATTGGTGATAAATAAAAATTCAAAATACACATTTCAATTTCGAATTTCCTTCCTAAAAAATATAGTCTATAGATAAACTATAAATATTAACTAAGTTCCATCATCATAAAACATGAGATATAGTACCTATTTATTTATTTTACATAAGTTCACAGTTTTTCGTGATTTATAATTTTAAAATTAATTTCAATGAATTTAAACAATGGTGATGAGTTGGAACTGGGTTATTCACCGGGGTTTGAGTTTGAAAAAAACCGAGTTTACGTATTTGCCGGATTTCGGAATTTGGTTTGTACACAGCTTCGAATTTTCTTCGAGCATACTGGGTTTTAACTCTTTGGGTTTATGTTAAAAACGTAACGTGTTTAACACATTCTTTTATTAAAAAATCGTTAATAATGATTTGCAGATGGGCAATTAGTATTTTCGGAGAATTAAATAAAATAAATCAATGTAGACATTATGTTTCGTGATATTCATCCTAAAACAATTTTGAATTTTTTTTTTTTGCGTTTTGTTTACTAATTATACAGTTGAATATTATTTGGAGTTCGGCTCCGGTTTAACCACTATTTTGTACTCAGTTTTTTTTTATATATAGTTTAATAGGTGACCATTCAATTACTTAGCGATTCTTCGGTCCAGGTCTATTCCCCTTACATGTAATTAAGACTTAAAAGTAATAGTAATGGTGTAGAAAAAAAAATCTCAGATGTTGAGGTCTCTTAAAGATCAAAAAATTAAAAAACAATTTTTCTTTTATAGTTACGTTTAAATACTTTAATTTTTTTATTTTAAATAAAAAAAGAAAAAGTTTACGTTATAATTGTATACTTTTAAAACTTTTCAATTTCTGGTCATAAATAGTTATGGTATAAAGCGTTTTTTTAACTGACTTTTCCAGCAGGAAGACTTGAATTGAGTTTTCGATTTACATTTTACTATATTCGATTAAATTCCGGCTTATATTACTCAGTATTTTACATGTGATAAGTTTGATTACCTAGTAAAATAGAAGTACAATAATGTTATAATTTCAATAAATTAAAATACGCTTTGTGGTTTGATGCTTTATTATGTATTAATTAAAAAACTCAGTCTCAAATTGGATGGCGTATGATATATTCTATCGGTCCTTTATCTTTTAACTTTTTTTAAATCTTTCCTTCGATATCTATGCATATGAATATCTATTTGGCAGTTTAAAATAAAAATTATTTAATTATTGTAAGTATTGTATGTATGTAGTATTGTATTATTAAAGTAATAATTGCGATGGTAACGAAAATGAACCAATAAAACATAACTATGAATTACCGCAGTTTCCAGTTCAACACAATGTGATTGAAATAAAAACCCATTTAAAAAAAAAAAAAAATGTATATGCTGTGTGAATGTAGTTATTGTTTGTTATTTTCATTGTTTATACAGAAAAGTCGTTTCAATAATAATAAAAATAATAAAAATAATAATATCAATAATGATAATGGAGTTATAGATGATTTGGTACATATCTTGACCTATTTTATACAAAAACTTTGTACTCTTCAGTGAATTTATATTTATACTTTAATTCAGCGTTTAATCGTTAGTCATATTTCAATTACATTTATTTTATTTTATTTATAATTTTTATTATAAATAACCTATTATAGTATTATTAATTGTATGGTCATTCTATACAATAGGTCAAGCATTGGGCTTGGCAGGGTCAGGTCTATGAATTATCCCGAGAAAATTATTAATGCGAGGCTCTTTTTCCTTATAATAATAATTCTTTATGCGTTATGACACATTTTTTTTTTGAACTTTTGTACAATCTCATTCTAATTTATGTTTGAAGCAGAATTTGTCCTACTCTAATTAATGTTTGATAAATCTTTAATAATTAAAGAATAACAGAATAGAATACATACAAAATTATAAACAATCAGAACAGTATCTTAAATTTACCGATTAACTATAAATGTATAAATGAGCTATTTGATTATTGTTATATATAGCTAAAATCAACAATTCTAAATATAAATTAAATTAAATTAAATTAAATAAGGATCAAAACTTTTTTTTTCTTTAACTTCTAAGACTCGAACAAGTCTGTTATATTTTAAAGTCTAACGTGTTTAATATTTCTTTTCCTACGGTAATTGTACCTAAACCAGTCAGTCTCTTTTGATGAATTGTATTTCTAAAGTAGTTATTAATAATTTTGAGTTCAGAAAAAACTTCTTTCGGAAGACGCTGAAATTACCGGTATTGTTAAGAAGATTCGAAAAGAAATGTAAGTGTTTGGTATGCACTAGGTTTCTTCTTTAAGGAAGTTAGTGCCTGTACTATTATAGTATATTTTTTCAATTGAACTTCGAAGTACTTACAATTCATTATATAATTCAGAAGTAACTATACAACAAAAATCATCATTACTTAAATAAATTTGAAAATACAAGAAAGTTTTCATTAACTTTTGCTCAAAGTTTTATAACGTTGTACAAAAAGTCTAATCGTCTTTTAAGCTTATAAGTTTCATAACTACTAGGTTAGGGTTAGGTTAACTAACCATAACTACTAACTACTGTTATTTCATTATTCGTGATTCGTTTTTATATATGTATACACATTCAGTGAGTTAAGTTTGGTTAAATGAATAATCTTGTTTCTTAAACTCACTACCTTTTATGTAGTCAATATTTTTTTTTTTTATATATTATTGAACAGGTTACAATAGTATCAACCAATTTGCCTTTATTTTTAATTTTCATGAATACTGATGACATTAATATATTATTTAAAATAGAGGAATACAAAAATCAAAAGTGTATAATACTTATATATGCTATTTATTTATTTTAAAAAGATATAACAAATAGTTATAAAACTTAATAGCAATAACATTATAACAACATTCGTCTCCTCGCAGTCTTAGCGTTCAGACGTGTTTTCTTTGAGTCGTACTACCTATATTATCTTGCTGCGTGTTATCGCTCTTATTTTAGTTGTGCGTTAATTATGTCGTCGTCCTCGGGCGGCACAAATCGTGCCGGCCAAAACCAGTTTTCAAACAAGCTTAAAAATCAACAAGTCAAAAACACTGCTGGCCCCGGTTACCAGGTAGTCGGAAAAAATGGTAAGCCAATCAAAAATTCTTGTCCAGTTTCACCAAATTTCCAACAAATTATTGACAACCCGCCGACTCTAGATATATCTAACTCCTCATTCAATTATAGCTCTTTATCTACACTAACCGCAATTACGTCGGGGTCTACGGCTAACGATATGGATTTGATTGTTAATGATCGTTCTAATGAGTTCGATACTGGTTGTACTTTTTCTTCACTTAATGATACTTCTATTCAATCTACCTTCCCAACCAACAGCGATATGGCAAACACTAATAAACATATCAATTTATTGCAAAAGTTGTTTTCGCCAGATTATATCGGGCCTATAACCATTCTCGTTGAAAGTACGGACGCTAATATAAATTTAGGAAACTGGCATCCTATTAAAGCCGCTAAATTTTTCTCAAACAATTTCTCTGGTATTACTAATATTAAACCTGCGGGTTCAAAAAAAATAAAAATTTCTTTCGACACAATTTTTAATGGTAATTGCTGCTTGAATTCAAGCATCTTAAAGGAGAATAATTATAATGTAATTATACCTTCTACTCTAATTTTTTCTTACGGAATAATAAAATTAGATACTACAGTTTCAGAAACTGAATTTTTCGAAGGCGTCCGATCCTCAGTCAAGATTGATGCATTCAAACGCATCAGTATTAAAAAAGATGATCAAATCGTTCAAACACGTATAGTTGAACTTAAATTCGTCGCTCCGAAAATACCATCCATTATCTCTGTATTTAATATGATCTTTGATGTCAAGTCCAGTGTCCGGTCTCCCGTTCAATGCAATCGTTGTTTACGTTTTGGACATACACAAAAATATTGTCGTAGCTGTCCCAGGTGCAGTCACTGCGGTGAAAACAATCATTCGGTTGATTTATGCCCACGCGTTCAATCCACTGATCCTGTATGTCTCTTCTGCAAGCAACCTCACTTAGCCACTGATCGTAGTTGCCGCGAACGGTCCACTAAAAAAGAAATTAAACACATCATGGCCACCGAAAACATTTCCTATAAGGATGCCTTAATTTTTAAAAAAAATAATTGTTACACTAATGCTTATTCTTTTTCCGATGTTGTTAAGAGCCAGCCTCCAATCTCTGAAATATTAAAACCAAATATCTCCCTAGAGGAAGAAAACTTCCCCAGGCTAAATAATCACCATCATTATTTCAATTCTAGGATGATAAAACAAAAATCTAGCTCCCCGATTAATAAAGATAAATTAAATTTACCAGTTGAACCTCATTTTTCTTCACCTAACGGTTGTTGTTTAACCAATCTCCCTAATCAAAGCCTTACCGGAGACAATAAATCTGCTGATCTATCTTGGATTCATTCTCTTTCTCTTAAACTCTCTGAATCTCTTATAAATTCCCCTCCCTATTTTCCCCCTTCTCATCCACCTCTCTTCAGTCCTTAATTGAATCTTCTCTAAATTCACTCCTTAATATTCCAGATTCTAATTTCACCTCTGATTAGTCTTGTATTATACACCAAATGTCCTCACCACAGTTATAGAAAATACTAAATATAATTTACTCACAAACTAACATATTACAAAACAAAATAAATTAAAATTACCATGGCATTTTTACATAAATATAAAAACCAGAATATCTCCAACAATCACACTAACATTATTCAATG